GAAGTCAAACTAAAACAAGCCTTGGGTTTTAATAATTTTCCATTAGGTTGAGGTTTCAACTCCAACTCTTTTAGGTTACACCAAATTTTCAGGTCTTTTCTAGCCTTCTCATTATCTTTTGTTTTGTCTTTAACACCCATCACTGTGTTAAATACATTATCAAAAAAATTCTTCTCAATATGCACAACATCAATATTATGGTGCAACAAATTATCTTTCCAATACGGGAGGTCCCAAAATATACTTCTTTTTGTCCAATTGTGTGTGACTCCATATCCTTCAATTCTACATGCTTTGCCAGTATCTGTAAATTTTGGTAGTTCACAAACTTGGTTCCATATATGACCTGGTGACAATCGAGGCGGAAGTAGATCTGTTACTCGTTCGTATTTTTAAAATTTGTCTTGTTTCTTCTGTAGGGATGATTTGTTGGTAGGAATCTGGGTGACAGTCAAACCACGAGCTTTTCCCCCATTTATCCAACGTAAACGCTTTGGTGTATGCCATACAATGTGGACAACCCATTTTGCCATGTGTATCCCAACCAGACAACATGTCATATGCTGGAAAGTCATTAATGCTCCACATCAAGGCAGCTCACAAAGTAAAGTTTTGTTTACAAGATATATCATAAGTCCATTCTCCAATCCATAACCTCTTGAAATCGTCAATTAAAGGTTGTAAGTACACATCGACTCTGGCTTTTGGACTGGAAGGCCCTGGAATGATGCACGTCAAAAACATGTATGGTTTTGTCATGCACATCTCAGGAGGGAGGTTGTAAGGAGTTATAATAACTGGCCAACAAGAATACGCACTTCCCGACGCTTGCACATATGGGGCAAAACCATCAGAGCATAATCCAAGCCTGACATTTCTAGGTTCTGCGGCAAAATCAGGATGTGTCCGATCAAAGTTCTTCCATGCCTCTCCATCAGATGGATGTAGCATAGTGCCTGAACTTGTTCGGTTTTTATGATGACATGTCATTTAAGTTGCACTGTGCATTGAAGCAAACATTCTTTTTAACCTTGGTATTATCGGAAGATAAAACATGGACTTTACTGCTACACGCTTTTGTTTGCTGTTAATGGCTCTACTGCGAACTTGATATCTTGAACTCTTACAAAATTTGCATTCCTCCAACAATCCATCTTGAGTATCAAACTCATTATCATAAAACAACATGCAACCACTAATGCAACAATCAATCTTTCTTACTTTTAAACCCAACTTTGACACCCACTTCTTTGAATCATAAAAACTTGTAGGCAAGTTGTCTCTCGTTGCGGTGTAGTCCAACATCATTTTTGAGAAATGTTCCAAACACTGATCAGGAACATTCCAATTTGACTTGGCGGCCAATAATCTCACACACATTGATAACTTTGAGTCTGACGACCCCTCGAACAATGGCGTATTCATCTCATTCAACAACTGATAAAATCTCTGCGCTTCCTCATTCGACAACTCTTCCCTGTCAAAATCTTCAGGTTGATCATATGTCACATTCACACCAAAAGCATCCTCAACCATTTCACCGATCAGATTAAAGTTTTCCTCAAATTCTATAGGAAGTCGACTACTTGAAGCATATGTGTTGCTAGTCTCTGGTACGTTACTCGGCATTTCTTCACCATTATACGTCTAAACCCAATAATTTTCAATGAAACCCCTTCTATGCAAATGACGTGCTACTTCCTTTGGGTCACTAATTATTGGTCTACATTCACATTTAAGACAGGGACACCTAACTCCTCCTTCGCTTCGACAACATTCCTGAGCAAACGCCCATGTGATAAACTCATTAACTCCTTCTATAAAATGGGGTTTAAGTGCACGTCTTCCCGAATACAATCTATCGTACATCCAACTACGAACATACCGATAATATTCCATACTGCACATTTATACAATCATTATCTTATTATTAACCATAAATAAATATATTAACCATAAATAATTATATTCTATTTATATTTTAACCATAAATAAATATTTAACTATAGTAACTATAATTAAATTTTCTAACTATTTTGAAATTATATATATATTCTAAATATTTTATAAACATATTGAACATATATATTGACCATAATTTTTTTAACAAAGATATTATTCTTTAGGAAATAAAAAACATCATTATATTCTATTTATATTTTAACCAGAAATAAATATTTAACTATAGTACTATAATTAAATTTTATAACTATTTTGAAATTATATATATATATATATATATATATATATATATATATATATATATATATATATATATATATATATATATATATATATATATATATATATATATATATAATATATATATATATATATATATATATATATATATATATATATATATATATATATATATATATATATATATAATATAATATATAGTATATATATATATATATATATATATATATATATATATATATATATATATTATATATATATATATATATATATATATTCTAAACATTTTATAAACATATATTTATAAATAGAATATATTGTTTAACAAAGATATTATTGTTTAAGAAATATAAAATATAATTGTATTCTATTTATATTTTAATCATAAATAAATATTTAACTATAATAACTATAATTAAATTTTATAACTTTTGAAATTATATATATCCTAAACATTTTATAAACATATTTTGAATATATATATATATATATATATATATATATATATATATATATATATATATATATATATATATATATATATATATATATATATATATATATATATATATATATATATATATATATATATTAACCATAATTTTTCTAACAAAGACATTATTCTTTAAGAAATATAAAATATAATTATATTCTATTCATATTTTAACAATAAATAGATATTTAACTATAGTAACTATAATTAAATTTTATAACTATTTTGAAGTTATATATATATATATATATCCTAAACATTTTATAAATATATTGAATATATATATTAACCATAATTTTTTTTAACAAAAATATTATTCTTTAAAAAATATAAAATATACTTATATTCTATTTATATTTTAACCATAAATAAATATTTAACTATAGTAACTACAATAAAATTTTATACCTATTTTGAAATTATATATATATATATATATATATATATATATATATATATATATATATATATATATATATATATATATATATATATATATATATATATATATATATATATATATATATATATATATATATATATATATATATATATATATATATATATATATATATATATATATATATATATATATAAACATATTAAATATTCTGTTTTATTTTTCTACAAAATATATATAAAAAAGTTCAATTTATATATTTAAAAAATAATATTTTAAAATTCAGTTTTTTAAAATTCTTTTTTAATATATATATTATTTAATAAACATATTAAATATTCTGTTTTATTTTTCTTACAAAATATATATAAAAAAGTTCAATTTATATATTTAAAAAATAATATTTATATATATATAATTTATATATATAATCAAAATAAACTAAAATTAATTTTATATATAAAAATTGAAATAATTTATAAATTGACAGAATGTTCTAACCTTTTCTTTAATCTCCTTCAAACAATCTTTTTCTTCAAATTTTTTTCTAAACTCTTCAATGTTCTTCAATTTTAACAAAACAGTTTGAACATAAATTAGTATTAGTAAATATAATAAACAATAAACAAAATTATATCAATATATTGAAATTATATCATATAATATAATTATTAGTATCAATAAAATTGTAGGTTTGAAAATTTTTTTGAAGAAATTTAATGCAAGATTTGAGATGATTTGAGGAGGAGAAGAAAATAGAAAACAAAGAAGATAACAAGAATGAGAAAACTGTGTAACAATCAAACCGGGATTTGGATATGGAGCTGTGCACGCATTTCTATATACGCCACGTAAGCGACGTGAAAATCACGTTGCAACCTTGCCACGTGATTTTCACGTCGCAACACACATAACGGTCATAAAATATTCGTTCTCTCTGCACATGGACTGTAACTTGTCGAGTCAAAACCAAATAAATTTCCCCCTTAAAAATTGCGACGTGAAAAACACGTCACAACTTAATTTTTAAAATTTTTTAAAAATCCCTCCATCTGAACATTACAGCTTTTGTTTTGTTTATTTTAACTTTTTTCTAGCGACATGAGTCCCACGCCGCAATAAATTTCATTTAAAAAAAAAATCTCTACATCTGAACGTTATGTTGATTTTTTTAATATATAAATTTATAGTGACGTGATTATCACGTCGCAATAAGCCTTTTTTTAGCCACGTGATAATCACGTCACAACTTTATGTTGCTGGGAAACACATTTCTTGTATTGGATCCTGATGTACTAGGACCATCACATCAAACACCTCATAATCAAGCGAGTCAGAACAGACTCCAAACACTTCAGAAAAATCAACAGAGAGGAGTGAGACAAGGGGTGAGGCAAAAGCGGAGTCGTTTATATCATACTGGGACTCACTTAAGTTGAGGGGACGTCCAAAAAAAATGTATCAATGCGTTGTGTAATATAAAATATTAATATAAAATATTTTTAATTATTTTTTATTTTATTTTAAAAAAATTAATAAATAACACTGTGAAGTCAAGGAAGATGGTGCTTTCTCTCTGCAAATACATGCATGCGCCATACTGCGTGACTTTACAGAGGAGGACAAGCCATACAGTGTGGCGCTTCCTCTCTAAAATGCATGCATGTGCCACACAGATTGACTACTCTTTTGTGTGGCGAATTTTTTTTTATTTGAAAAATAGTCAATTTGATAAATTTTTTGAAAATATGATTATTTAAAAAAAAAATTGAAAAATATAGTTATTTAAAAAAAAAACCATCAACTTTTCTTAAAAAATGCATTGCTCGGGCTTATAAATAGCTAATTATAATCCTTATATGTGCATTGTGTAAGGAAAGTTTTATAGTGATAATTAGCTACAAAATGAAAGTTGCTGCAAAATTATGCAATTTGTTCACCACCACCTATTTTCTTTTACTCTTCTCAGGTTTCTATATCTATCTCTTTAATTCAATACTACAAACAATGAATGTTTTTCATTTCTAACATATCTTCACAACAATATTGCAGGTCTTGGCGTTGATTCTAAGGATTATGATTATTTTGCTACTACTAAGGCAATGACACATTTTAACTATGACTATATATTAGTTTTATAAACATCAAATAATTCAAAACAATTTAAAAACCAACTAAATAAATGAGGTTTTACTAGTTTAAATCATCAATTATTTTACATAAAAAAAAAGAAGTTAACCAAGTTGCTAATGCTATGAAATAAAACAGTGTACAACAGAACCTCATAAGGCACAATATGGAGGGGGTATTATAGTAAATCCAGAATTTGATCACAACATAGAGAGTTGGACAGTGTTTGGAAATGGAACAATGGAGGAACGTTTATCAAATAATGGAAATAGATTCATTGTTGCTAGCAACAGAACACAAACATTAGATAGTTTTTCACAAAAGATTCAACTCAAGAAAGAATTGATATACATGTTTTCAGGTAACTAATTATTTATGTTTCACTAACATTCATCAAATCAATCTTATTACCATGTTGCTCATTACATTTCTAAAACATATTTTGAATGTTTTTATTTTCTTGGATCTCCAAATTCAGGTTGGTTTCAGCTGAGTGAAGGAAGAGACCTAGTTTCTGTTGTGTTTAAAATAAATGATAGTGAGTTGGTATATGGTGGTCATGTGATAGCAAAGAATGGATGTTGGTCTCTTCTAAAAGGTGGTATAGTCGCAAACTTCTCAAGTTCCGCCGAGATTATTTTTGAGGTAAATACATGAGAATTCAGAAGAAAATACTAATATAATAATTAATATACTAATATCTGTCTAAATAAATAAAAATATGATAAATGGAATCGACTAACAATGCATTGCAGACCAATAATCCAAGTGTGGAAATATGGGTCGATAGTGTCTCATTGCAACCGTTTACTAAAGAAGAATGGAGATCACACCAAGACAACAATATTGAGAGGGTAAGTTTCTCCGAAGATATTAGTCATCAGTAAAGTTTGGACCTAAAATACCGCACAAGACCTAAATATCTTTCTCCGGTTAAAATATGATTAAATAGGACCTCTAATTGTTTTGACCTCTACACAGGTTATCAAAAAACTTGAGACGGCTCTAAATATATCATACCAATTGTAACTAGTGTTGATTTATAACTTCTAGGTACGTAAGAGTAGAGTGAGATTTCATGTAAGTAATGTAAATGAAACAGCAATTGAAGGAGCAAAAGTTGTCATAAAACAAACAAAAGCAAATTTTCCATTTGGATGTGGGATGAACTATCACATACTCACAAACCGCGACTACCAGGAATGGTTTGTATCAAGATTTAAATACACAACTTTCACCAATCAAATGAAATGGTATAGTACAGAGATAATTCAAGGCCAAGAAAACTATACTATCCCAGATGCAATGTTGAAATTCACCAAAGAAAATGGAATTTCTGTGAGAGGTCATAACATTTTTTGGGACTACGAAAAATATCAACCTAAATGGGTGAATTCGTTATCGCCAGACGAATTAAGAGAAGCCGCGGCTAAAAGAATAAAATCTGTTGTTACAAGATATAAAGGAGAATTGATTGCATGGGATGTGATGAATGAGAATGTTCATTTTCACTTTTACGAGGATAAACTAGGTGAAAATGCGTCCGAAATATACTATTTAAGAGCTTATGAGCTTGATCCAAAAACAACATTGTTTATGAATGAGTATAATACAATCGAATATAGCGGTGACAAGGTTGCTAGTCCAGCAAATTATTTCAACAAACTTAAGGAGATTCTGCAATCTCCAGAAGCTTCTGAAATGTCATTTGCAATTGGATTACAATGCCATTTTGCAAGTGGCAGGCCAAATCTTGCTTACATGAGATCAGGTCTAGATTTTCTCGGTGAAACTGGATTTCCTATATGGCTCACAGAAACCAGTGTAGATCCTCAAGCAGAACAGGTATGAACTGAAAACAAAATATACGAAAAATGAACATTGATTTCATTTGTGACGATTCTTGTTTTTTGTTTAGGCAGAATATTTTGAAGAGATACTAAGAGAAGGTTACTCTCATCCGGCAGTTAAAGGGATAATAATGTTTGCTGGTCCAGCACAAGCTGGTTTCAATTCTACACTTCTTGCTGATGCAAATTTTCAAACAACTCCAACTGGAAAAGTTGTGGACAAGTTGATTAGTGAGTGGGGAACTGGACCTTATACAACAATAGCAGATGGTAGAGGAATTGTAGATATTTCATTACATCATGGAGATTATGATGTAATAGTTACTCATCCTTTAACACAACAAACTGAAAAATTAAATATAAGTGTTAGGAAAGAATGTTCACAAAAAAACATCCATGTGAAAATGCATGCCTAAATGCAATAGGGAATTAGTATTGGTCTACCTTCTAATCCTCATGTAATGTAATAAATGGTTTGCACATGCAACATCCTTATCCTTGTCCCTTTTTCAGTGGGTAGACAAACTCATACAAACCACTGTAAATTCATACACACAATTTTGAGTATCAGGGTTCGGATCCTAGTAATCACGTCCAACCTAATAATATTGATTTATGAAGTTGAGCTATGATTTGTGGATCAACATCCTTGTCCAGTATTAAATTATAGGTTGTTTTTTCCATTTCACTCAATTAAGCATTTGTTTGGATGCACGGTGGAACTTATATTTTTGCATCCTAATGCTCCCACATTGTGATATTTAAAAAATGTCCTACATTTCTTTGATGTAATTACAAATCAGTACATAAAAAAATTGATTTTAATTTAAACACATAACTAAAAGGATTTTAACTTTGAAATGAATTTAAAACTTTTTCATGTCCTCTTCGATCCAAAAGAAATCAGATTTATCTATTACTTCACCATTAACATAGTGAGAAGAGATAAACGGATCATTGATTATTGTTTCTTACAATTCAAGATCAAAAATTTGAATAAAAAATTTAGTTCTAACTTTTCACAATTTAAACTTATCACCATTAAACGATAAAAGTGTGTTTAGGGAAGTCTTCTTATTAAAAGACGTGTTGGAAGTCATCTTCCTCCTGAGACGAATAGTTTTAAGGCTAACTTTCAACCAAACAGCGAACAAGTCTTAGGGTGGTTATCCTCCAAACTAAACGTATTGTGAGATTTTGTATTGAACTCTAGTATCTCGACAAGGATAGATTTCTTAGTTCAACAGAGTTTGAGCAAGTTGTTGAAGTCAACTCACATGCCGATGTCATAGTCGTGCATGTTGTAGTCGAATTGTGTTCTAGCATGTAGTAGTCGATAAGGCTAGTGTTGTACCCAAAAATTTTCCCTCCCAATTTCACTCAAGACATGCCCATTGAGGTCCCCAGCTTACCCTAAGATGACTAAGACTTTCCAGGAGGTCCCCAGCTTACCCTAAGTCGAATTGTTTGGTTGATGACCGGGAACGACGTCGACATGGCCGGTCTCGAGCAGAACTATAGAGACGGGCTGACCGCCTCTTCATTATCCCACTCTCGATCGCACGGGGATGTCCAAGCCCCCTAGAACTATGAACTAAACACTTTCCAGGAGGTCCCCGTCTCTGCTGGCGCTGATGCCACGACCAGAGCTCTGTTCGCGGCCATCAATCGAACAAACTACTTGATCTTCTCGCAGGGGCGAGCGGCTAAGAGTGCTCGAACAGACTCTTCGGGCCCCAAGGAGAAACATGAGACTTAGACACTACTTTCTGGCCCACACGATCATCGTACGAACAGACCAACCCGTAAGGCAGCTCCTATGCCGACCAGACATGGTCGATGGAATGCTAAAATGGTCCTTGGAGCTCTCGGAGTTTGACGTCCAGTACGAGAGCAAGAAGGCCCTCAAAGCCCTAGCGCTGACCGACTTTGTCGCAGAGATGACCGCGCATAATTCCCTCGTAAGGAAGAAGAATAAGTAGGCCATCTTTGTAGACGGAGCTTCCAAATCGACAGGAAGCAAAGCAGAAATCCTCCTCAAGAACGAGGAGGGTGTAGGGATCGAGCACTCCCTCACCCTTTCTTTTCCAACATCGAACAATCAGGCTGAATACGAGGCCCTACTCACAGGATTAAGGCTGGCCGAGGACTTGGATACCCGGTAAATACAATTTTTTACAGAATCCTAACTTGTCGCTTCTCAAGTACAAGGGGGATACCAGGCCAAGAACAACAGCCTCGCCGAATATCTAAATCTAGTCAGAGAACGGATGAAGAGGTTTGACCAAGCAGAAATCAAACTCATACCTCGCAAACAGAATACACAGGAGGACATACTTTCAAAGCTCGCGAGCACAAAGAAGAAAGGTGGGAATAAGTGCGTCATACAAGAATCTCTTTCTCGTCCGAGCATTGAAAAATCCACTATACCACCTGAGGTAAATGTCATCGGAGATAATTCATGTTGGATGACCCTGATGTTCAACTTCCTGACAAAGGGTGAACTGCCTGTTGACCAAAGGGAGGCGGCCGCGACTAAATTATGAGCATATTCTTATGTGGTACTCGAGCACAAACTTTATCGGTGGGGATTCTCCATCCCTCTCCTGAAATGCATCGATGAATCCATAATCCCCGAGATACTGTGGGAAATCCACGAGGGAATCAACGCCCAACACTTGAGTAGAAGATCCTTGGAACGAAAGGCACTACGAGCAGGTTATTACTGTCCGACCATGCAACAAGATGCAAAGGAGCACGTCAAGAAACGCGACAAGTGTCAAAGGCACGCAAACATACACCTCGCGCCCCCGCACGAGCTCAAAACACTGTCATCCTTGTGGTCGTTCGTCTGGTGGGGTATGGATATTGTAACGCCCGTAATTTAATTAATTATTTAATTAAATTATTTTTGGAATATTTGTGTAGTTGTGTTGTTATGTTAGTTGATGTGTTGTGATTAGTTGGAATTAATTATTTTATTAAGTGGTGGAATAATATGAGAATGATAACATTATTTGATGTGGGCTTGTTTTAAAGGATAGATGTAGTAATAAGGGGGTGTAATAGTCTTAATCCCACTAAGGAATAAAGAGAATGATAGGGTTATTTTATTATTGCTATTGTTAGAAATAACAAGAAAGAAGAAGCAGTAAGAACAATAAGGGTTAGAGAAAGAACGTGAAAGTTGTTGGAAAGGAGGAAAGAGGCAGAACAAAAATTCAACTGGAAGTATAGATCAACCTTCAATCCAAGGTAAGGGGGGATTCTGACTCTATAATAGGGTTTATGATAATTGGTATGTGGGGTTAGAGGTTAAAGATTGTTTGGTTTATGATTAAATTATATATGATGTTGTATGATGAAAATCGATGAGTTATGGATGAATAATGATGTCCCAATGTTGTATATTTGGTGTAGAATTATAGGATAAGTATAATTGATGATTATCTATGATTAGAAGATGTTTTTAGGGCATAAAGTATGGAAACTATAGTGAAAACACAGTGAAAACGCAGTGAAATCGCAGAAAATATTCATGACGGACCAGTATGTGTCGACCCCAAACATTATGTGTCGATACAAGAAGGCTTGTAGACTCAGGATGAGTCGACACGAAGGAGTTCTACGTTGATACATGAGGGATTTTAGACTCAGGATGAGTCGATACATAGGAGCATGTGTCGATACATGCAGTGTTGCAGACTCAGTATGAGTCGATATAAGAGGGTATGCGTCGACTCATGTAGCATGTTCAGTTCAGTACTCATCGACCCAAGGCATTACGCGTCGATCTATGTTGTCTTGTTTTTGACATAATCAGTTTGAAAAGGCTGTAACTTGAGTTTTTGGATTCCGTTTGAGGTGTCGTTCAAAGCGTTGAATAGCTAACGCAATGAGCTTAATTCTTAAGGATCAAAATGAAGAATAGGAAGGGTAATCCTAGCTTCCGAATTAGGGTTAGAGTTAGTTCCTACGTTAATCACTATGTTGATTTTTGTAAAGAATGATGAGGATGAGATGACTATAGATCACTGTTTGGTTTGTAATAGTAGGATTAATGATGATAATGATGTAGTATTACAGAATAGTAATATGCAGAGGTTTGGTAACTTAGAAGTAAGTCTTAGATGATTAATTGATTATAGGCAATATCATGTTGTAGGCCTATGGCCAACGTTGTGAGATTGGTGAATTGTTGTTGTATTATTGTTGGGGCTGAGTTGCTGTGAATATATGATGTATATATTATGTTTGATGAATTATGATGTATAAATGATGTTTGATGAATTATGATGATGAAAGATGCTGAGATGTCTCTAATAATTGGCAGCTATTAAGATGTAGGCTTATGGCCAACGATGATGTTTGTGTTGAGATGTTGTTAATTATGGTGTTGTCATTATATTCATGATCGCGTCACATACATTGAATTTAAAGATGGAGCTTATGCTCGTTAAGATGGCCTGTATTGGCGAATATTAAGATGAAGGCTTATGCCTTGTTGATGCCTCTATTGATTGGCAGATTTTTAAGATGGGAGTTCTTCTCCAATGGTACCATATGCATTGCATAGTATTGAGTCGCATTATACGATTGCATAAAGAAGTTGTGTATTGATGCGGTGAATGTGTATATTGTTGGTATTTTCTGTTGTGATTATTTTTTTTATAAGATGAGAAATGGTGGTGTTATGTGATCTAATTTAATATATTAATTATCATACGTTTTATTATATTGTTAGATATCTCACCCCTTCTGTTTGAATGTTACCCTTACGTTGGTAACGTGCAGGTAATCAAGAGTGAAGGCTGTATACCTTCAGTAGTTCGAGTCGGTGTCATTGCTCTGATACATAACACTCGGGGGGATGAACGCTTGTTGCTTTTAATTGTCGATTATCTCAGTTGTTGAACTTTAATTTGGTTGTTATTAAGTATGTGTTGTTTTGAAGTTGCTGTAACGATGGATAAAGATGTTATTAAGAATTCCGTTGCGTAGATGTTTAAATTGTTGAATTAAGAGATTTAAAGTATTATGTTAATGGTTCATCCGAAGTTTCAAAGTGTTATGTATCCACGATGAATGCAATGTGTTTTTAAAGATGAATTTGTGGCATCCTGATTCATTTGCATGAATGATTATAACTCTGATTTTCATGTATAATTGTCGGGGTAGAATTGGTGTGTTACAGATATCCTCAGACTCTTCCTGCAAGGCTCGTATCAAAATAAATTATTTATCGTGGCGGTCGACTAGTTCACGAAGTGGATGGAAGCCGAGGCCCTGACCAAAATCACTTCACACAATATCTTACATTTTTATAAGTGAAATGTACTTGCTCGATTCGGGATACCACAAGGGCTCGTCATCGACAACGGGATGCAATTCACAGATCAAGATTTCCAAGACATCA